CAAAACATTCTGACTCTGTGGGAATCCCACTGAAAAACAGATTTTCTGCACTCCAGCCTGAGCCTCTGAGTGAAACTTCGCCTTCAAACATCAACAGTGAGGCAAGACCAACACATCCATCCCCCAAAGCTCCCAAGGACAAAGCGACCACCAGGAAAACTAAAGGTAACCCAAAAGTGCTTGTTGTTGGAGATGAGGCAGTAAAGGGAATCAGTCACGTTTGCAATCCAAGGAAAACAAGAGTGATGTGTTTTCCTGGTGACACTGTATCTGATTTAACCAACAAACTGCTCTCTCTAACCACTGATCACCCAGATATTCAGACTTTAGTTGTGCATGTTGGAGCTAACGATCTGGCAAAGCAAAAGTCTGAGATTCTAAAAAAGGACTTTAACATTCTTCTGGACACTATGGGAAAACTGAGAATGAAGTTATTTCTCAGTGGTCCAATTCCATCACCTCAATGGGGAGACGAAAAACACTCCAGGCTGCTCACGATCAACAAATGGCTGATTAAAACCTGCTCTACCAGCTCAGTGACCTTCATCGATAACCTCTGGATCTATTGGCAGCGCTTTCACCTTTTTGGAAGAGGAGGACGCAATCTTAATAAACATGGGATAAAGCTACTCACTGCAAACCTTTTTTATTTTATCAACAAGGACAGCAACAGGATCATCGCGTCAGAAGAACAGGCTCAAGGATGTCTGCCTAGGATGGAACGCTCCCGGATCAGGAGCATGATATTCCAAAACAAGCTGATAAATCGACTGGAGATGGAGCGACTGCTTCCCTCGCTCCTTCCCCCCTTCCTCTCTGCTCCTCCAAACATTCAAAGGATTCAATGGATACCAATGAAGAAATGTCTTCCGGACCAGAGTTTCTTAAATTTACAGATGGAATGAATCAACAGGTTCGCCTCGGCACGTCTCTCCTTAGCACTCACGTAGCAGACCTCACTACATTTAAGCAACCTGCCCCTGACTTCCCAGAGGATCCATCACTCTGCGTTTCTGAGGTCTGAGGCCGGGGACCAGATATTATCTTTACACCCGTCTCCATCCAGAATGTGTCTGGCCCCCGGGTTCTGCAGAACAGGACATTACCTGTCCGGATCACTACAAGAAAATTTACAAAAACCAGAAATATGAAATACAGTGGTCCTAATTCAAACCTCAGAGTGATCCCCTGCCTAAAGGAACCTCAGACTGAAAATCTTTTGGCCTCCAAGCCACTTAAAGTAGCTCTTTTAAATATCAGATCACTCTGTGCTAAAGCTCTATTAATTAATGATTTCATCACTGAGTATAATGTTGATGTTATGTTTCTGACAGAAACATGGTTGAATGACGATAATGACCAAATTGTACTCATTGAATCAGCGCCTCCTGACTACAATTTTTTAAGTGAGAATAGAAAACATAAAAAAGGAGGAGGTGTGGCTTCTATATTTAAAAATACCATAAACTGTAGTAAAATGTCTTTGGGTCATTTCACATCTTTTGAGTATCTTGGAATTCAGGTTAAAGGCTTCAAACGAACTTTGACACTAACTTTATACAAAGCTCCAGCATATGTGGAAAATTTTTTTACTGACTTGAATGATCTTCTTTCTCTCATATGCATTGACTATGATTGTTTAATAATTGTTGGTGATTTTAACATTCACGTGGACAAACCTGAAAACAGAGGAGCAAAAAAGCTCTCTGATATTTTAGAAAATTTTGGTTTAACACAACATGTTAAACAGGCAACACACACTCAAGGACACACACTGGACCTGGTTATCAGTAAGGGTGTGACTATTTCCAATGTCTCTGTAACTGATGTCGCCCTGTCGGATCACTTCGCTGTTATCTTTGAAGGTTCTTTATTCTTTGACCCACTTGGACAAACAGCTGCTGTCACAAAACGTTCTTTCACAGAAAACACAGCAGAAACATTTAATCAAATTACTCTTCCTCCTCACCCTTAAGCTGTAATGATGTAGATCAGTTGTTAGATGATTTTCAGTCTAAAGTTTCATATATCATTGATTCCATTGCTCCAATTAAAGTAAAGGTTTTGACTGGTAGAAAGAAATCTCCATGGAGAAATGCACAAATAGTTCATTCTGCAAGACAACTCTGCCGCAGGGCAGAACGACAATGGCGTAAAACTCAACTTCACGCTCATCACGACATCTACAAAGAAAGACTACGTAACTATCACTTAACACTAAAACATGCAAGGGAGGCTTTCTTTGCAGATATCATAAACAAAAACATTAATAATGCTCGAACTTTATTTGCAACAGTTGACAGGCTCACAAACCCTCCTGTGACGTTACCACCTGAACTCCAATCTAATGTTGCCTGTAATAAGTTTTCTGATTTCTTTTCAGAGAAAATCCAAAAATCAGAGGATTAATCTGCACATCAACTTCAAAGCCAGAACCATTGCTGTACCAAAAACAAAACAAATACAGAAAAAATGACCCATTTTCAACTACTTAATTATAAAACTCTAGAAGAAATTATAAGTCAATTAAGTTCAAGCTCCTGCTGTCTGGATGTCCTTCCCACACATTTCTTTAAGAAAGTCCTGCCTGTTATTGCTACTGATCTGATCCAAATCGTAAACTCATCGCTTACATCAGGTGTTTTCCCCCAGGCTTTGAAAACAGCAGTCATCAAACCACTGTTAAAAAAGAACAACCTGGACAAATCACTATTGCACAATTACAGGCCAATCTCAAACCTCCCATTCATCAGCAAAGTTATTGAAAAAACTGTGTGTAAACAATTAAATAGTTTCCTCATGATGACCAACTGCTTTGACACTTTCCAGTCTGGTTTTCGTGCTCACCACAGCACGGAGACTGCCCTCGTAAAAGTATTCAATGATATCCATATAAATACGGTGTGGGAGAGGGGGTGGGTTCTGGATCTCAGTGCAGCTTTTGACACTGTCGACCATGACATATTACTGAATCGACTTGAAAGTTGGGTTGGACTCTCTGGTTCGGTGCTCGACTGGTTTGAATCCTACATAAAGAACAGGGATTTCTTTGTTTCAATTGGAAACTTCTCATCAAAGAGGTCAAAGGTCACATGTGGGGTACCCCAAGGTTCAATCCTAGGACCCCTCTTATTTAATATTTATATTCTCCCACTAGCTCAGGTCATAACAGGAAATAATATTAGCTACCACAACTATGCGGATGACACACAGCTCTACATTACGATGTCACCAGGTGACTCTGAACCCATCCAATCACTGAATAAATGCTTAGAGCAGATAAATGTGTGGATGTGCCAAAACTTTCTCCAACTGAACAAAAATAAAACTGAAGTCATTATTTTTGGACCTAAAGAGGAACGATCTAGAGTCAATGCACAGCTTCAGTTATTACAACTAAAACCTAGCGATCAGGCCCGAAACCTGGGAGTAGTGATGGACTCGGACTTGAACCTCCAGAGCCACATAAAGACAGTAACAAAATCGGCCTTCTATCACCTGAAGAACATCTCCAGGATTAGAGGACTAATGTCTCAGCCAGATCTAGAAAAACTCATTCATGCGTTTGTCTTTAGTCGCATTGATTATTGCAACAGCATCTTCACAGGCCTGTCCAACAAATCAATCAAACAGCTGCAACTGATCCAGAATGCTGCTGCTCGCGTTCTCACTAGAACCAGGAAAATAGAGCACATAACACCAGTTTCAAAGTCCCTCCACTGGCTCCCTGTAGCTCAAAGAATAGATTTTAAAATACTGTTAGTTTACAAATCACTGAACAGTTTAGCACCACAATACATCAAAGATCTGCTGTTGTTGTATCAACCTTCCAGACTCTCAGGTCTTCTGGTTCTGGTCTGCTCTGCATCCCCAGAACCAGAACCAAAAGAGGAGAAACAGCTTTCAGCATCTATGGACCAAAAATTTGGAACGGGCTTCCAGAGAGCTGTAAAACAGCGGAAACCCTGACTTCCTTCAAATCTCAAGTAAAAACGCACCTGTTTAGAGTTGCATTTGAAATGTAATATGTATGGATTTGATTTTGTGGATATTTAGGTAATTTTTTATTTATTTATTTATTTTTTTTTTTTTTTTTCCTGTTGTGGGCAACGGGGCCCGGCGAATACCCGTGGTTAAACGGACGGCGGAGTCCGGCGGTAACAGGCGCTTAAATTCCGTGTCAAAGGGAAGGGGAAGAAAGGGAAAAAAGAGGGAAAAAAAAAAAAAAAAAACTTGGTATTTTATTCTATGTTGCATGCCTTTGTGTTTTGTGTTTATGATGTAAAGCACTTTGAAATGCCTTGTAGCTGAAATGTGCTATACAAATAAAATTTGATTGATTGATTGATTGAATAAATAAAATATTTTTTTTTATCAGTTCATTTGAGAATTTTCCAAATGTCAGCTGGATTTGTCGACTGATGTGTATCTCTGTCTACGCTGTTGAATTTTCAATGTTATTTTGTTGATTTCTGTCTAAAACTGTGAACAATTTCTCCTATTTACTTCAGTAAAGTTAACAATTTCTCTCTTCTCTGTTTGCTTGTCCAGATTCCCTGAAGTGTAACGTTTATAACCAGGAGAGGAGATCCACTCTGGACCAGGAGGAGTTAGAACCTCTGCAGGTGAAACAAGAACAGGAAGAGCCAGAAGATCATCAGATAAAAGAAGAACAGGAGGATCTAGAACACCTGCAGATAAAAGTGGAAGAAAAAGAAGTTTACTGCAGTCAGGGTGAAGAGCTGATTGCATTAAAACAGGATTCTGATACCTGCATGGTGGTTCCTGTTGATGAGCAAACATACCAAACTGAATCAGAACCAAACAGAAACCAAGACATCTTAGAAAAGCCTGATGAAACTGAGAACCAACATCAGGACAGAAGAAAACCTTTATCAGGTGTCACCTGTAAAAAACAATTGATTGTCAAATATCCTGTCAGTGATAATATCAGAATTCATAAGGGTGAAAAGCCGTTTTCATGTGTGAACTGTGGAAAAAGTTTTAGACATAAACAGAATTTAACTAAGCACATGAGGATTCACACTGGTGAAAAGCCGTTTTCATGTGGGAACTGTGGAAAAAGTTTCGGTCGAAAAGAGTATTTAACTCAGCACATGAGGATTCACTCTGGTGAAAAGCCGTTTTCATGTGGGAACTGTGGAAAAAGTTTTAGACATAAATATAGTTTAACTCTGCACATGAGGATTCACACTGGTGAAAAGCCGTTTTCATGTGTGAACTGTGGAAAAAGTTTTAGTGAAAAAACGGCATTAACTCAGCACATGAGGATTCATTCTGGTGAAAAGCCGTTTTCATGTGTGAACTGTGGAAAAAGTTTTAGTAAAAAACAGAATTTAACTCAGCACATGAGGATTCACACTGGTGAAAAGCCGTTTTCATGTGTGAACTGTGGAAAAAGTTTTAGTGATAAAACGGCATTAACTCAGCACATGAGGATTCACACTGGTGAAAAGCCGTTTTCATGTGGGAACTGTGGAAAAAGTTTCGGTCGAAAAGAGTATTTAACTCAGCACATGAGGATTCACATTGGTGAAAAGCCGTTTTTATGTGTGAACTGTGGAAAAAGTTTTAGTGAAAAACAGAATTTAACTAAGCACATGAGGATTCACACTGGTGAAAAGCCGTTTTCATGTGTGAACTGTGGAAAAAGTTTTAGACATAAATATAGTTTAACTCTGCACATGAGGATTCACACTGGTGAAAAGCCGTTTTCATGTGTGAACTGTGGAAGAAGTTTTAGTGAAAAACAGAATTTAACTAAGCACATGAGGATTCACACTGGTGAAAAGCCGTTTTCATGTGTGAACTGTGGAAAAAGTTTTAGTCAAAAACAGGATTTAACTCAGCACATGATGATTCACTCTGGTGAAAAGCCGTTTTCATGTGTGAACTGTGGAAAAAGTTTTAGTCTAAAACAGAAATTAACTCGGCACATGATGATTCACTCTGGTGAAAAGCCGTTTTCATGTGTGAACTGTGGAAAAAGTTTTAGTCTAAAACAGAAATTAACTCGGCACATGATGAATCACTCTGGTGAAAAGCCGTTTTCATGTGTGAACTGTGGAAAAAGTTTTAGTCAAAAACAGAATTTAAGTCGGCACATGAGGATTCACACTGGTGAAAAGCCGTTTTCATGTGTGAACTGTGGAAAAGGTTTTAGACATGAACAGCATTTAACTCAGCACATGAGGATTCACACTGGTGAAAAGCCGTTTTCATGTGTGAACTGTGGAAAAAGTTTTAGTCAAAAACAGGATTTAACTCGGCACATGATGATTCACACTGGTGAAAAGCCATTTTCATGTGGGAACTGTGGAAAAAGTTTTAGACATAAACTGGATTTAACTCGGCACATGAGGATTCACACTGGTGAAAAGCCGTTTTCATGTGTGAACTGTGGAAAAAGTTTTAGTCGTAAACAGCATTTAACTAAGCACATGATGATTCACACTGGTGAAAAGCCATTTTCATGTGTGAACTGTGGAAAAAGTTTTAGTGAAAAATGGGCATTAACTCAGCACATGATGATTCACTCTGGTGAAAAGCCGTTTTCATGTGTGAACTGTGGAAAAAGTTTTAGTGAAAAACAGAATTTAACTAAGCACATGAGGATTCACACTGGTGAAAAGCCGTTTTCATGTGTGAACTGTGGAAAAAGTTTTAGTCAAAAACAGGATTTAACTCAGCACATGATTTTTCACTCTGGTGAAAAGCCGTTTTCATGTGTGAACTGTGGAAAAAGTTTTAGTCAAAAACAGAATTTAAGTCGGCACATGAGGATTCACACTGGTGAAAAGCTGTAGAAGTATTTTCCGTACATGTCCTATGTTGAGGTTCACTATAGATTTGATTTTGTTAAAAACTAGAATGAAAGACTGGAGGGGTTTCATGTCTATAAAGCTGAAAATTTTAGTATTTAAATGTGATCATATGGACGTTGTGCAACCATCCAACAATAATGATAAACTGTATGTTATTGTACTTATATACTGTTTATATCAGACTGTATGTTGTGTTTGTACAACGTGAAGAGCAAAAGCTCAGCTCAGAGCCCTGAGGAGAGCCAGTACTGATGCTGATAGATGAAGAGACATTGTGGTCCATTGTGACTAATTTCATGCATTAACAGAGTTTGACTGGACATGGACTCCCTTCCAGAACATTCTCACAAGATTGGACTTGAGGGATTGATTTGTATTATTCTATTATGTATAGAGAAAGTGTGAGGGATGGATGTTGTTTATCTCAATACACTTATAATCAAAAATACAATGTGCTGTTATGCACTGACTTTACATTTTCTTTGATGATTAGATAAAAAATCCATTTAAAAACTTTATGAAATCACTCATTGATAGTTCTTGATTTTTTAAAGTTTGGTTGATTATTGTTGTCTTCAGTAATTCTGTGTGTCTTTTGTCTTAGTTGTATTTCTATTTTTTCTGCTCTCTTATATTACGAGGAAAACATTTCACGTTCTGCAACGAGAACTGGCACTGAGAAAAATCTGTAGATGTGATGATCGTAGGATCCACAAGGTGGCAGTAATGGAATGACATGAATGCAGTTAGTCATAAAACCCAAAGAAGAAGACGACAAAGCAAAAGAGATGAAACGAGGTTATGGCTGTTCATAACAGAATTATTTAAATCTGAAGACAAAGGTATAGTTTGGAGAGGAAGCAAGAAGATTTGGAAAATTAGGTGGGATATAAATAAATGGAAGGCATTTATATACAATTGATGTAGTAATGGTTAGAGGAATAAACAAGGGAGGAGATAATTATGAATAGAATAAGAACCAGTCAGTTTTTTAAATTGAACTCTTTTTAAGATGGGGAAACATCTTCCTGGTTTATGAAGTTGGTGTGATTCTATGGAACATGTTTTATTAGGTATAGAAAATATGTAAATCAAAGATATGAGAATTTGAGACATAGATATGAGTATCCAATAGGTGGCAGTAGTACAAGAGCAATGGATGCAAACTGCCGTTACAATGTAAAGGAGAAGAAGAAAAAGTAGTAGAAGAAGAAGAAGACAAAGAGGCACATGGTCTGTTTTGTTGAATGTTTCAGTGTTTCTCTAATAAATATCTCCAGTCCAGCTTAAACCAGTGAATCAGCGAGCAGTGAACTGCAGAAACATTGACAGAGTTTAAAGAAATCATCGTCCAGTCGGAGGAAGAGATGGATGATCAGCGCAGACTGCTTGATTTCTCCCGGACTCCCGAATAGGCACTATATGAGAAATTTGTAGTTGTGATGATCGTAGGATCCACATGGTGGCGGTAATGCGATGACATGAATGCAGTTAATTATAAAATCCCAAAGAAGAAGACAAAAAAAAAACTGCAGCAGAAGAAGAAAACAAAAGAGATGAAATGAGGTTATGGCTGTTCATAACAGAATACGTGAACAAAATAAAAAATGTAATATAATTTTGGATTCCTGCTCATGTGGGTATTTTGGGTAACGAAAGAGCAGATAGGTTGGCTGAGGAGGCTATTAAACAAGAAGTTGTTGATATGCCAGTAAAGTGATTTAAATATGAAGGCAAAGGTATAGTTTGGAGAGGAAGGAAGAAGATTTGGAAAATTAGGTGGGATAATGAAATAAGTGGAAGTCATTTATATACAATTGATGTAGTAATGGTTAGAGGAATAAACAGGAGGGAGGAGATAATTATGAATAGAATAAGAACCAGTCAGTTTTTTTAAATGGAACTCTTTTTAAGATGGGGAAACATCTTACTGGTTTATGAAGTTGTTGTGATTCTATGGAACATGTTTTTATTAGTTGTAGAAAATATGTAAATCAAAGATATTAGAATGAGACATAGATATGAGGATCTAATAGGTGGCAGTAGTGCAAGAGCAATGGATGCAAACTGCCGTTACAATGTAAAGGAGAAGAAGAAGAAAAAGTAGAAGATTTTGATTTGATTTTTACAAACATTTATTTACAATAATAATAAAACAATTTCATTTTTTTGTTGTTTTACAATTATCCTATGTCATACATTACAAAAAAATACATTATAATAAAACATCAGTATAAATTAGTTCATTATTTTCTGAAATGATGCACAACACTGTCACATCCCCATAACTCTAAAAACCCCTGCACATTCCCAGTGGCCCTGTGGAAAGCAAACTCCAAACTCAGCCTCGCCTTGATGTTTACTTTCCACAGAGCCACAACATCAACTTGAGGTCCATCCTGCATCTTGTCTCTTCGAGTTATATATATAGCTAATTTTGCCTCGGCTAATAAATAATTTAAAAGCCTTGACTTAAAACTAGTCGCTTTACTATGACGTACTCCGTTAATAAATAGTGCATCGGTAAAAATCATTTTAAAAAGACTAAAAACAGTCGATAAAAAACTAAAAAAGACTATCAATCGTGTGCAATGTATAAAAACATGAAAAACTCTCTGACAACCTACAAAATGGACACTCATTTATAAAACCAGGACTAATCACCGATAAAAACGCGTTGGTGGCTATAGCACCATGGAGTATCCTCCACTGGAGGTCGCCAATCCTTTTTCTAATCGGCGGTTTGTACATTGTCCTCCAGTGGATTGGTTGTCCTTTCAGTCTTTCAACCCACACGCTGACGTCCCTCTTTCGAAGTGTTCTCTTGTTTAGGATTTTCACACAGTTTTTATATAAAGTCTTTGGTGCCACTTTGCACAAATCCATTTCTGAGTCCATGGTCTTTAGCAGAGGACCGCTGTCCTCTTCAAAGCTTGGACTCAGAAGAACCTTAGGAAAAGGATCTGTTTCTTTTGGCAGGCATTCTCCATCCTTGTATGCCTGCAATAAACTCTTCTCTTTTCCAGTCAATCTTTCTCTTATTCTCATCAGGACACGTTCCATCATTCTTGTAGACCTTACTTTCAGTGCGGCAGCGACCTTCTGGGCATCGCCAAAGTCTGCTCCTGATGCTCGGATCAGCCTCTTTAAGGTCATCATTCCGGCTCTAGACAGCGTCTCTGTTAGTCCCAGGAACGTGTCCTCTCTAACATCCAGTCTTCCTCCGTACACCAAGGGTTCTTCTAATAGCCAATGCAGAGAATCAGTCATTTCCGCTCTACGCAATCTAAAAAGAGCACATGATTTAAAAACGCTCTGATAAAATTGCGGAGTTCCTTTAAACCTTAAAAGACTAAAATTTGTTAAAAACAGAGCAGCATCCAATCCCAAGGAATTCACGCATCTTAGAATGCAACTGGCTACATCCTTCCACACAGGAGATCCTATCAGGTACTTTTGTAAAAACTGTATCCTAAACACAGTGACTCTACTGGCCAGGTGGACAAGGCCCTGGCCCCCCTCTTCTCAGGATAAAAACAACACCGACTGTGGCACCCAGCGACGATTGTTCCAGAAAAAATTAATCATTTCCTTCTGTATTCTTGCCAGCAGCCCTGACGGTGGATCTAGTACAATGAGCTTGTGCCATAGTTGTGATGCGACCAGATTATTAAGCACTAACACTCTTCCTCTGTACGACATTTTTTCATGCAACCATTTCCATTTTGCAAGTTTGTTTGATATTTTTTGTTCTAGGTTTTGCCAGATTTATCAACAAAACTTTTCTCGCCTAAATATTTTAGGCCATCTTTTCTCCAGGTCATGCCTTTGGGGAGAGCCGGGAGTCCGTCGGGCCACTCGCCAACAGCCAGGGCTTCACTTTTTCCCCAATTTACTTTGGTGGCAGACAGCATGGAGAACTTTCTTATGATTTCTGTTAAAACGCTGACGTCTTTTTGATCTTTAATAAAAACCACGAGATCGTCAGCATAGGCAGATAAAACCAATTTGTCTTTAAAACCGGGTAAAACCAAGCCGTGAATGTCTGATCGCATCTTCTTTAAAAGGGGTTCCAGGGAGAGTGCATAGAGCATTCCCGAGAGCGCGCAGCCCTGTCGAACGCCTCTCTAAAAGGAGCACACAGGCTGCCATTGATCTTCAGCACACTCTCAATGTCACCGTACAACACCTGGATCTTGGCAATAAGACCCTCGCTGAACCCAAACCTCCTCATTACTTTCCAGAGGAAGTCGTGTTCAACGTGGTCAAAAGCCTTTTCTTGATCTAATGAAATCAAGCCTGTCTGTAAACCCAAAATATCCCGAATTAGGTAGACATTGTCCACCATGGACCTGCCGGGGACGCAGTAGGTCTGGTCCCGGTGGATGACCTGCTCCATGGCTTTTCCTATTCTCGTGGCCAGGGCCTTCGAGAGGATTTTATAGTCCGTACAGAGGAGGGACACAGGGTGCCAGTTTTTAATCTCCTGCAGGTTGTCCTTTTTCAGCAGCAGGGTGATGACCGCCCTGCGACAGGATAGGGTGAGCGAACCGGTAGCTAGACTCTCGTTGTACATTTCGAGCATGTCCTGGGCCAGAAGGTCCCAGTAGGCCTTGAAAAACTCCACTGTTAGCCCATCAACGCCTGGGGACCTCTGGCCCTGCATGCTCTGGAGGGCTGTGTGGAGCTCTTGTATGCCCAACGGGCGCTCCAGGTCGGTATTGATCTCTGCAGAGATCTGAGGCAGTTCTTCGCAGAACTCCTCCAACAGTTCTTCATTCTCTTTATATTCCCTCTGGAACAGAGAACTATAGAAGTCCACAGCCCTCCTCCTTATCTGCCCCGGTTCGCTCATATGCTGCCCCGTGTCCGACAGTAAAGAGTGGATAATTTTCCTCTGACCTTGTTTCCTCTCTAGGCCAAAGAAAAAGCCAGAGGGAGCATCCATCTCTGTGATTTCCTGCATCTGGGACCTGACCAACGCGCCTTGGACTTTACTCTCCAGCAGGTTGGCCAAAGTTAGCCTTTTAGATTTGAGAGCTTCAAAATACTCTCGATTTCCCGTGGTGTCAGTCGCTCCAAATCCACTATACTCATCTCCGGATCTCTGATAGATCCGGTAATGTCACACGTGACATTGACAGTGTGCTGTTGACTCAGCAGTTTAATTTGGACCTTTCCATAATCCCACCACTGCTTGATTGAACTAAAATCAGCTTTCGTTTTTCTAAAACCGGTCCAAAAATAAGTTAAAACCTCCTTAAAATTCTGATCGTAAGTCAAAGCAGAATTAAAATGCCAGTATGCGCTTCTAGGTAAAATGTTTCTGATAAAAACACTACCTAAAAGCAGCGAATGATCCGTAAAAGCCACAGGTAAGATCTGGCATGTTTTAAACACATTAAAATGGTGTTTAAAACAATAAAAACGATCTAAACGAGCTAA